CAAGTGTTTTATGTCACAAATCCTTCTAATAAAAGGTGGTCAGTGGTTTTACAAGGAAAGGTGCATGATAGTGTGAAAATCATGATGTGAACCTTGATATTTCTGAAACTCCTCCTTTCTCAATAAATGTGCCCACCTTCATTGAAGAAAATAAAGAGGATGATGTGCATGTTGTTCGCATAGATCATGAAGAAGGGATATGGGAGGAATAGTACGGTTTTTTATAAGTTAATTCGAAATTACTTTGATTTCTAATTGTTTTTATTGTGTACTTAATTTGGTGTCTAAATGTTTTTATTTTATGCTTAATTTGATTTCTAATTATTTTTATTTTGTGTAAACAGATACATGGGTGATTCAACCGACAATCCTTCTTCATCTAGTAACCCTAAGAAAAGAAGAGTTAGAGGTCCCACTTTGATGGCAAAAATTGACAAAGTTCATCAAATGGGTGAAAAGGTAAAGGTCGAGTTTGATCCAAAAACCTATGAATGTACTGGTGTTGGTAAAAATGCAACGAATTTTAAGAGTTATATAACATCTCTTGCTTGGTAGAACTGTAGTATTTTGAAAAATGAGTGAAAAGACGTAGATAATGGCATAAAAGAGGCTATTTGGATTGATGTTAAGGTATTTTAAATTCAACACTATTATATTTTATAATCATATACTACTTAACAATATATGTCGTATACTATATGTGTAGGCTCATTTCACTATTCAAGAATGTAAAGATCCAAAGAAGGATCCGTTAAAGAAAGAATGGATTAAATATGAAGGAGAGCGATGGAGAGGTTTTAAGACACAATTCACCAATATATTAAAAAGTCCAAAAAAGATCTCCCTCCCGCACATATCAAGTATAGTTATATTAAAGAAGAAACATGGAAAGAGTTTCTCAATACACGAGATACCCCTGAATTTAAGGTTAATAGGAGTTATATTTTTTTATGCATAACATTTTTATCATGTTTAGTGATTAATAACTTTTTGAGTTTTTAATAAGAAAAAAGTTGAAAGGGTATGAAAAATGTGGCTAGGAAGTATACCCACACGTATTATCTCGTGGAGGGTATCAATTGCTTAAGGAGAGAATTATGAACAAAAGGAGATCATCGACAGATGATTCCACATTAGATGATACTGGTAGTCCATGTCTACCGCCACGCCATGAGTTATGGAAGAGAGCACGACAAAAGAAAGAGGGAGAATACACATCAAAGTCTACACAAGTTGTTGTTGAGAAAATTATAAGTAAAATTTGGAAAATACTTCAAGTATCATTATATTTGTGATTGATAAAAACTATTGAAATTAGTTGTGTTTATTGCATTTTGTAGGATTCTCTAGTTGAAGAAGCTGAAAAAGGTACCTTTGTTTCGGATGGACGTAACGATATCTTAATAACAACCATTGGAACATCTGAGTATGGCGGTCGTGTTGGTGGTATTGGAAAACACCATAAATAAAGCACTTACTTTGGAAGGTCGTCTTCACCTCAGGGACAACATATATGTATAAATGAACAATTTGCACAAATTTCATCTAAATTGGAAGCAAGAATTAGAGCTAATTTTGATCAAAAGTTGGTTGAAGAGCGTAAGGCGTTGCAACAATATTTAATGGAAACACTTAGGTCTATCGGTTTATCGCAAAGCACATATAATAATAAATCCATTAAAAAAATAGAAGTTGATGGAAGCGGAAAAGGAAGTTGTTCTGCTGCAAAAGGAAGCACAAAATACGTGGAAGTTGACGATGTTCAAAGATTGTTACTCATGGTTCTGAAAATGGCTAACACACATTTGAAAATGGAATTAAGTCATTGTGTGAATGTTACTAATTTCTATATGTCAGCTAAGCGTATCAGAGAGTTGTTGGTGAGTTTTCATTAGCTTGACGTGTCTACTCTGAATGTTACTATTTTCTTTTTTATTACTGCCAATATCTATTAATATGTTATATCTCTCATCACTTTGATTATAATATTTATTTTAAAAATGTTCAGGTATATTCATCGTGTATGTATTGATAATTCCACATCAGAAGTATATGGATTTATGGACCCTACTAGGTGTATGTATGTTGATAATGTGTCAAAATCTGAAGTAGATGTTAAAAAAGACATACTAGATAAGTTACGTGATGAAAACAAAGTGTGTCACTTACTACCATTAGTTCATGGGTAAGTTTTTATGAAATTGTGTTTTCTATTTTTTAATTTTGATAACATGGATATTTTATTTGCCTTTTGTGTTTCCACACACACGTACATATCTCATTGGCAATTAATTGTCATTTGTCCAAGAGACAACATTGTGGTCGTCTTTTGTTCACTTCATCGGAAAATTGATCAAATCACGAAGAAAATTGTTACAAAGTAAATTTGTTTTTATGTGACTTTTGATATAATATATTATATATCCTATATATATAATTTGTTACAAAAGTATTTCATTATTTATGTGGCTTTATACGGGTTTTTTTTCTCTGAATCAGTGCTTTTGGGGTTCATCAAATGGCAAATGAAAATAGAAAAAAAGGCTACATGGCTTCATCCCAATGTAAGCGTGATGTAAATTATAGTTCTATATTTAATTTTATGATAAATATTCACTAATTATGTCATTCATTTATAGACAAGGCTACAACATAACTCTAATGATTGTGGATACTATGTGATGAAAAATATATTGGATATTGTCTCTGCCAATATAACCGAGTCTTGGATGTAGGTAATAAAAAAACTTTACTTTGTTATTTACTTTGCGTTTTGCAACTTAATGTGAATTTTCAAAGAATAACTCTATATTGTTATTTACGTATTGTAGGTATTTGATGACCCAACTGAATTAACACAACATGATTTGTATGATTTGCGACTCCGTTTGAAAAAATGTTTCTTTGAGTTATATAAAACTTAAGCTTTATCTGGTGAGTTATATATATATATATATATATATATATATATATATATATATATATATATATATATATATATATATATATATGATTTGAGTTTCTTGATTTTAGTGTTGTCTGCTGATGTTAATTGATGTTATTATTTATTGTTAGCAAATGTGATTTTGGTGTTGTCTACTGAAGCTACAACTCATCTTTTTGTGGATTGCATGTTGGTATTTCGAGTGTGGGAAAAGACTTATAAATGGCTGGATACTTTTGTATAATTTCACTAGTTTTGTTGTTGTAGTAGTCTACCGTGTGTAAACTTCCTTATAATTTTGTACACTTGTGTGTATCCTACAATAGTTATAGATCAATTGTTCATTTTGAAGAATATATATGTGCATCCTAGCTATTTGGTGCGATGAAAATACCCTTCACTAGTTCGAAAAATATGAAAATAGCGACTTAAATGTGGTCTGTGTGATGTGGTAAAAATATGAAAAATAGCGACCTAAATGTGGTCTGTTGTGATGTTGAAAAAATATGAAAAATTAGGTACCAAAATAAATTATAGGGAATCCACTTCGATTCCACTAAAAAAAAGCAAACATATTACATCGGGCCATTGAGGTAATCGATGTTAAAACCTATATATTACATTGGGCCATTAAGGCAACTCATATTAAAACCCATATATTACACCGGGTCAGTTAGGCAACCGATATAAAATATTGCATTATTCTTAAATTGTATTTTTTTTCATATAAGACCTAATATCTAACCGATGTGGTAGGTGGATTTTTTACATCGGACTGTTGTCCGATGTAAAATGTCTTTGATTTACTACATCGCTTGGATTTACATGAGACTCATACCCGATATAAAATATACTTTTCATCCAATATAAAAAGTCTTTCTTACATTAACAAAGATAAATGAAGTGTCCGAATGGTAAATGTGTGCAAACAATAGAATAAGGAAGTGAGTTTTATACTTGTTTCAGACATTTTAAATTTTATTTTACAAAGGTAATATGTCAATAGTATATATATAGGGTTTAGGGTTTAGGGTTTAGGGTATATATATATATATATATATATATATATATATATATATATATATATATATATATATATATATATATATATATATATATATATATATATAGCAACATGTTAGACTTCAAACCATCAAATCTATTTAGTGAAGGAACAAGAGTTCACCATTGATCTACCCATAAACTATTTCTAAATCAAGAAGATATTATTCAGCTCTACCTCTTTCGTTATTTTTATGACTCCATTAAAAATGACATCATTACTATCTTTCAAAATGGACGAGATTACAACATTACCAAATCATAAGAAATAATTCATCTACTTAAACTATACTCCTAAAGAATGAAAAATCTCGAACAACACCCTAATATCCTTAAGAATTACTACCTGCCACTCCAACCACCTAAAAGTATTATACCACACAAATAAGACTAGCTCACAAGTAGTACAGAGATGAAGATCCATCTCAACCAAAAACTAACACATAGGGCAAGAGATCAAACTATGATAAAAAAATCACTCTTATCTTAGACAGTTTATCTCCTAGACGTAAATCTATCTTATAATAATTGTCAAGAGAAAATCAAATCCTTTGAAAGAGCTCAACTGATCGAGATAAATGGGAGAACACGAATCTTAGTTATTTAAAGTGCAAATAGAACCGTGATTGGAAATTTTTAATTAACTTTCAAATTCAACACCAATATACTATACATTATGAAGTTTTTTTTTATTATGACAAACATAACAAAGGTCCAAACAACAAAAACCAACAACCTGTTCGAATTTTAAAGTTATTCAAACTAAGTTAACCATATATTCAAGAGACTCGGTTATTTGTCAACTGAGACATACTATTTGATAATTAATAGGTTATTTTTATTGCTGAAATATGACATATATTGTTCCAAGCATTCACCAGATCGTTACATACGATCAGTACACTTTATTTTCCTATAACAAGACACAATATTTATTTCTTCTCCATATAACAATCTTCCACCACTTGCTACACGTTGCATCTCCCTCTGTTGTTTATTTAACCCTGCACAATCACATCAAAATAAATAACTATAATCTCTTTGGGAAATAGCATAATTAAAATGACTAGACATAGTGAAACTTACTTGTCGCAATTAGTAGAAGGGTAAACTTTAAAGGGACATTTAGATCCACAAAGTTCACCAATTTGATTAATACGAGTATAATTAATCAAAGGAATTAACGCAGCCCTATCTTGAACACAGTGACAAGCAACTCTTCTATCATCACCATTCTTATAAGCAGCATTCAAAGAGTGAATACCTTGGCAACACAAAGGTAAAACACTTCCTCCCAATGTTCCATAGGGTATGCATGGAGTTAACCATACAGTTACTTGTTCACATGTCAAAGTTGCTTTACCATGACAGCTTGATATTAACATGCAAGCCATCATCACACTAATTAATGCAACTTTACTCATTTTTTATTGTTTTAAAGTATGTGACTTTTCTTTTTGGTGTTAACCAGTGGTGTTAATGATGGTTTATATAGAAAGGAAAGTGGAGTTAGTGATTAAGATGGATCATAGGGCTATGAGAAATTTATTGGTTGAGTCACAAATTTTTGTGTGTGTGATAATTCATCGTTGAAAATTCAATGTTGGGAACTTATGAGGAAACTTCAAAGATAAAGAAACGATTTAAAAATTGGGGCCTAGGGATAGATTTTAAGATGCACAATGCCAAAAAATATATATGGGATTATGGATTCTTTGGTCAGGTGATTTTGTTGTTATTTGACCCAACTTGACATGTCTTTGTCCAATGTTTTCATTTTTGATTTCGGAATTTTCAGATTTTTTTTAATAAGAAAAATAAACTTCACATTAAAAAGTTTAAGGGGTGCTCAACCCAACAAACAAAATCAAACCAGCCCAAAATGTTGTTCATAAAGATGCAGCATCACTCTTCAAATCTTCCTCCAAAATGTGACCAGTGCTGCACAGCTCAGACATTCACAAATAGCTCGATTTGACCGAAAAACTGTCCTTGTGGCTTCACCAAACAAATATGTCACTCAAAACTGCATTCGAAAAAACATTCTGCAGCAGAACCTGTAAGTCTGTCAGATTCGCAAATCATTGTCTGAAACCCAATGCGAAACTAGATCGAGTTTCCAAATCCAAGACCCCTCGTACCACTCTCCCATCTCGCTGATTTTTACTCCATCATCCCTTGAACGCATAAACAAGGAAGGGAACATCTCATTTAGCGGTTTCGATTCTAACCAAAAGAAATGCCTTCAAAAATTGAAATTGCTTCCATCACCATGCTTGCAAGATTTGGAATTTGAAAAACATGGTTCTTGATTTTGTTTTAAAGGATATCCTACAAAACAAATATCCTCCCACCATAAAAGTATTGTCGAGTTTCAAATGTGAGTGTTAAAATTTTAATCTTAAAAAATATTAAATTTATAAGAGAAAGGAGTTATACTCTCGCTGTTAAGATATATAACAATTTATTTAATAAAAAAAACAAAATCACAAACACTTTTTTCACGTGTCCTTTGTTAATAATTTTATGAAATTAATTCATTTCAATAGAAAAAATTCCTTCAATAATATAAGTAACTATTTAAAAACAGATGTAAGGACAAAAACAATTAATAAGAAAATACTTATACATGTCTTTTGAAGTTTCGATCCATTTAATGATTGTATTAATGTCTATCAAAATTAAAATGATTGTTATTTCCTCCGTCTTGCGATAAGTATTTTCTTTGAGATTTTTACACTTTTTAAAATAATAATTAATTATGTTGATTTCAATAATAAAATGAGTCTCATTTATTAAAATAACTTTATTAATAATAGATAGTCGAGTAGTTATATGAACTAAAATACAATAAATAATGATAAGTTAGTGAAAAAATCATAAATATCACATTGATATAATTTGAGACAAATAAAAATAGAAAAAAAAAGACACATATTTTGAGACGAAGGGAGTATTATTTTTAGTGGGAGCAACTTCATCATTTATCTATGCATGATTCAAAATATAGTGGGGGCTTCAGCCCACACTCTAGCTAAGCTAGCCCCGTCCCTGCTCATCCCTCCTTTGGTATACAAACCTTAGGTCAACTGATCCAATTAATTTTCTTATTTTTCTCGACCCCACCCCGAAGGAACACTCTTTGCAACATAATGATTTCTTTAATAATAGCTTTAGTTGTTGTTTTTTTATTTTAGTTTTTTTAGCTTTGATATTTTATTTAATTAAGAGTGTGGTTTTATTCTTTTAGAATTACTTTCTATTTTCAATCTAAGAGATGTTTGGTAGAAAATGTATGTTTAGAGCCCACTCTAGAAGATGTAAGAGTTTATAAAGTAGTGTATTCTATTAAAATATATATTATTAGAGTTTATAAGTATGTTATTGAACTATATATATTATTAGAGTTTAACAAGTAAAGAATGTTAAAAAATATGAATTATTAAAATAGTATATTAAAAATAAAAACTTCTAATGATTTAATTATGTATGCATCATTTCGGAACATAGGTATGAATCACTGGATAAGAGCTAATCGATTAAGTGCTGAGTACGAACATGGAGTGATGGAATTTCTACAGTTTGCTGAAAGTAATGCTAAAAAAAAATCTTCCTCCTCCTACTAAAAGTGATGCTGAAAAAAGTCTTCCTACACTTTTTCTCTGTCCATGTGTTCGTTGTGCAAATCAAGAACCAAAACTTAGTAAGAAAGAAAGCACAGATCATCTAATCTGTGTAGGAATTTGTCAAAGTTATACACAACGGATATGGTCCGATGAAGTAGTAACAAAGCCAAACGTGTCCCAAAGAGATAATGTTAGTGTCGATATGGATGGTCGTCTGGAAGACATGGTGCGTGATATTGGACGAGATTCATTTAAGAGGGCACATGCGTATGATACTTTATGCAGTGACAAGGATACACCTTTGTACCTGGGATGCACAAATTTTACACCTTTGTCAACCGTGTTAAAATTGTTTAATCTGAAGGCAAATAATGGGTGGACTGACAAAAGTTTTACGGAATTACTTGAATTGTTGATAGAAATGCTTCCAGAAGGTAACATAATTCCAAATCATTATTACGAGGCGGAGAAAATATTGTGTCTGATGGGTTTGGAGTATGAAAGATACATGCATGCCCTAATGATTTCATATTATACAGAAAAAAGTATGTAAATTATAATCATTGTCTGAAGTGTAAGGCGTCACGCTACAAAAAGAAAGATGGTGAATTAAGTGATAATGAGGTGGTAAAAAAGGGTCCTCCCGCGAAAGTGGTATGATACCTACCAATAATTTCAAGGTTCAAGAGACTATTCGCTAATGCAAACAACACAAAGAATCTTAGATGGCATGCAGAAGAAAGAAAATGTGATGGACAAATTTTCCATGTAGCTGATTCTTTGCAATGAAAGAAAAGAGATTATTTGTTTAAATTTTTTGGCAAAGAGTCGAGAAACCTTAGACTTGGACTTTTTACTGATGGAATGAATCAATTTGGTAATCTAAGTACTAACCATAGTTCTTGGCCTATTCTCCTGAGATTATTTCTTTTTTTTATATACATTAAAATATTTTATTTTATACACATAAAAATAAACAAAAACATTTCTTACATAGTTATAATATTTTGCCCATTTATATTTAAATTGCTTATTTAATTATTGCCAATTTATTTATTTGTACCATTTATTCAATTTGGATGTAATAGTAAATATTAGGGTTTTAATTTCTTACAAAATGATCCCCTATTCAAAAATTGTATCTCCCTCCCCATATCAATGTTGTAATAGTCGTAGATTTATTTTATGCATTTTATAGCTTTCAATTATGCCATGTTAGAGATTAGGGTTTGTATGCAATATCTAAAATCAAAACAAATAGTTTGACCTAATGCAAGACATAAATGCATGAAAATGACAACACAATACACACATGCACCCCTAGGGTTTCATCCACTTGTTGCCTTTAAAAATGGTCATTGTTGTACCCCAAAATTTGCCCTCCCTTTCTTCAGGAAACCATCTTAGATTTTTCAAAGTCCCCTGGAACAAATCCAAGTCCTGGGTTATCCTTTTGCCCAAGCAAGCCACTTACAAGAGCAAGATGATCTCACAAACTCCGGGAACAACGCTTCCATCTTGAGGAAAATCAAATTCTAAGTGCTTAGAATGTTTCTTTAAAATAAGTGTTTTTTAGAAAAAATCAGCGCTTCAGAACTTCTGGACCCATTCCAGATGAAGACGGTCAGAAGTTGTAAGCTTGGCTCAGCGTGCTCAGAAGTTGGCTCTTCAGCAGTTATATCAGACGGTCAGAAGTTGTAAACGTGGTTCAGAGTGTAAGCCTCAAACAGAACATGCCCCTTCAGCAGTTACACAAGCTCAGTCAGAACTTGCTAAAGGAATGCAAGAGAAACATGAAAGTATAAAGGCTCCTTCAGAACAGGTTGAAGTCAGAAGATGAAAGGTCAGAGGGATAGGTGTCACATTGATACAGAATCTCTAAGTCCAGATTGTCCAGAAGTAGACCCAAGGAACGTACCAGAAAACCAGGAAAATTTCCAGAGCTTGCTAAGACAACAGGTAGCCAAGGCCAGAGCATGGTTTACGCTGCTGATTCAACAACCAGAATGTTGGTATTGACAGGTCTTGTCACCATTTAATGCCCATTAATGCTTCCAACCACTCCTGAGCGATCACGTGTGGCTTGGAAAATGCTTTTGCACAGATTCTGGCATAGGTCTTCACGCCACCGCCCACTTCAGAGGTCACTTCCCCCAATCCACGCCTGCTGCTGCTACCTAGGCTGAAAAATAGCTGTTATCACAACTTCCCAGGAATTTCTGTCAAAGAACCAGTTCAAACTCTGTTGGCGCCTTAAATGTTCAAGATATCCACAAGAACTTTGCCTATAAATAGAAAGCTTTCACCACTGCAAAAGATGTTCAAGAAGTTCAAGAAAAGAAACAGAAAAATTGCTAAGAGAGAAACGAAACTCCTAGCAACACAACATTCTGAAACTCTGCCAAAATTTCCAGCCTTGTGTCATAACTTTAAGTTTCTCACCTTCAACTTCATCAAGCACCCAGCCCTTTTTCTGTAAACCAAAAACGTTCTTTCCAAACTTCTGACCCTATACATGTATACGCCTTCACTTCCCTTTTCCCAAATCTGTCCAGAACACCACCAGAACCAAAAGCTAACTTTCACCCACCATTTTCCAGAAAATCAGGTAAGCACCTGCTGACCCTCACCACACTGTTAAGCATCATCAGCTGTGCATATTCAAGTAACATAATGTAAATATTCATGTTATTGTTGTTTATGTTCTGAGGACTCTCATACCTCAGAACGTTCTGAGCCAGTTTAGGACCTACCTGTGACCTTGGTGATTCTGACCTCTGAGAGTTATTGCCTTTTCA